TTTTTTTTTTTTTTTTTTTTTTTTTTTGGTACCAGGGATTGAACTTGGGTCCTTGCGCTTGTGAGGCAGGTGGCGGAACCACTGAGCTAAATCCCTGGGCCTCTGTTTTTACATTTTTAATCGTGGTCATTTATTGTTCTCAGTGACCTCATTGTCTTGGGTTTATTAAACCATCCGCAGGCAGGATGGGTATCATCAACCGTATTGGGTAATTCGTGTTCGTGTTGGCTTGTCACAAGTGGAGTGTGCTGGGTGTGTCACAGTTTGTTCCAGCCTTTCTGGGGTCTGGTCCTGACTCCATGTTGAGGACAGAGGATTAAGATCCTTCATTAGAGGCTGAACGATCGGAGCTGAGGTTTACCCTGCGGGTCTGTGTGACAAAGCTGGTCACCATTCTGCTTGTGTCCCCAGTGCGAGGTCCCCAGGGGCAGCGGGTGTGAGGGGGGAGCAGGGTCCAGGCGCCGGCCGGGCCTGGCAGAGAGGACCAGAGAGGCCCAAAGCGTGGGCCTAGTGGACGCTCACTGTCTGGGAAAGCGGAGTGCCTCCGGGCTGATGTACTTTCTTTTCCTTTGCTCTGAGCTGCTCTCCTCCCGCTGTGCAGAAATAAGCACTCTGAAGGATCTCTTTGGACTTGCCAGCAACGGTAGGCTCTGGTCTCCGAGGCCCACGGGGTCCCTGTGGATGGGAGGCAGCGTGAGTTCTCACTCTCCACCTCTCTGAACCTCTCTCCTTTTCTCTTTAGATCACGATCTTGCCATGGCAAAATACAGCCGGCTTCCTAAGAAGAAGGAGAACGAAAAGGTCAGCAGACCCCGCCCTTTCGGGGCTTCCTGTTGGGAGTTCGTGGCTTTAGTGTCTTGCCTTGCTTTCTGTTTCGTCTAAGTCCTCTCTTCCAGTTATTCTGACTCTCCGGAGGCCTTCACTTCTCTGCCCTAACCTCCAGCCTGATTTATCCAGCACAAATCAGGAACCCCGGGAAGGACAGGGGCTCGGCTCTGGGTCTGCTCCTCTTCAGCCCGATTTCCAGTGTTTGGCCGCGATAGAGAAGAACTTGTTATCTTCGTGCAGAGAGCTTTTACTTATCTTCCCAGGTTTCCCTGAGCAAAATCGTTTCCTCAGACCAGTCTTGCCAGTGAACCGTGCGTGTGTGGCTCTCAGCGGCTGCCCTGGGTCTCCTAGAGCAGTGTTGCGCTGTTGCTGCCTCTAGGAAGCTGTTGGCTTCCCCTTGGTGCAGCCTCACGGGCTTGGAGCTGCTGTTGCTCTGGGATTTGATTTTTTTTTTTTTGGTACCGGGGATCAAACTCGGGACCTTGCACTTGCGAGGCGGGCAGTGGAATGGCTGAGCCAAATCCCTGGCCCAGGTTCTGGATTCTTCAAGGTTGGGATGGAAGCTTATTGCGTGCTCCTGCGCTTGTTACCACAAGGGCCGTGACGGGCATCCAGATGTGTCAGGTCACGTGCTCCTGCAGAGCACGGCCTGAAGTTTCCCCTCCACCCGAATCAGGTGAAGGCCGAGGCCAGGAAAGAGGTGGCAGCTGCGCGGCGGAAGCAGCACCTGTCGTCCCTGCAGTACTACTGCGCCCTCAACGCGCTGCAGCACCGGAAGCGGATGGCCATGGTGGAGCCCATGATGGGCTTCGCCCACGGGCAGGTAGGAGGCGATGCGTCGGCACCCGGGAGGGCCTGCGCGAAGCACCGTGGTGGGCTTCCAGCCAGGCTGGGCCATCTTGGCAGGACCACGTGGGCCAGGATGTCCTGGCCACACCACGTAGCTGGCCACGTGCTCACAAAGTGATGGATGCATCCCAGCCCTTCCTTGGGAGGAACCTGTGTGATCCTTGGTTTGATCCACATGAAAGCCAGGTCGGGTCCAGCGTTTCCAGAAGCAGTTGGGGGTCCAGGCTGTGCAGTCCTGTACATTTGGGTGTGTGGTCAGGCCCACCCTCAGGAGTCGCTGTCCACCCATTCATCCCTGAGTTATGGCCGGCCCTGGGAAGTGTCCCCAGTGCTTTTCAAAGTCTGCAGAGAATCTCGGCTTCCGCCCGCCAACTTGGTGGCCTATGCAATATGTGTCAGGGAGGCTCCCCATGAGGGCACAGGGAGGTGGCAGGGACCAGCTGGGGCTGTCTGGCTGGTGGCCTCACCCTCCTGCCTTAGCGCCATAGCTCTGACTTCAAAATGCACTTGGCACATGAGGGACGGCCCTGGAATTTTTTCTCATTGGGCGGTCTAGGAACAGAAAGGGATGTGAGAAGTAAATTTTTTTGTTTTTCTTTTTGTTTTGTTTTCTTTGAGACAGGGTCTCACTATGTAGTTGAGACTGACCTGCAACTCACTGCGTAGCCCAGGCTGGTCTCACTCTCAGCCATCCTCCTGCCTCAGCCTCCCGAGTGCTGGGATTACAGGTGTGCACCACCACGCCTGGCCTGTGAGAAGTAAAAACGAAATTGCCACTTTTTAAAGTCCATATACGAACATCTTTTACTTTTATAACACATTTGTAAAATACTTCAAAAGAAACACATCAGTGCCATAGGGACGGGGGCAGAGAGGGGATGTTCAAGCATCTGCGCCCAGCTCTCTGGATGTGGCAGCTTGTGGTTTGTGAGGCGCTGGCTGATGTCAGCTTGTGCCCCAGCAGGGACATTTAAATGGAGCAGTGTGACTTCTGAGTCATCTGAGGAGCTGGACTGAACCCTCGGGAACCATGCGGCGTCCTCGGTGGGCACCTGGGTGGGCACTGCTGGTCCCCTTTCTTCTTTGGTACCATGTTGCGCCCCAACCTGGAGGGCTCCTGGCTTTGCTACAGAACGGTGCTGTCTTTGTTAATTCCTCCTGTCCTGGGTGCCCTCCTTGGGGTTGACAGTGCCTGCCTTTCGCCCAGGCCAGGGAGGGAGCAAGATTTATTGTCCCAGAAGCCCAAAGGCTGCAGGGTGACCATTTGGTGCCCAGAGGTGGTTGCTGGGAAGAGGGACCTCACAGGCCCAGGGGCAGGCTAGTGGCCTGCCGGCTCCATCTTGCAGCCAAGGACTGTGCCCTTGTGTCAGCCCAGTCTTCTCATGTGATTGTGGCTGGCCACAGGGAGAGAAGAGCAAATCTCAAGACACAGCACACTGTCTTGCTGGGAGGCAGGCACATCCGCTTGGAGGACTGAGGATGGTGCATTCCAATTTTCCTGTAAAAAGTGCCTGGATTTCAAGACACGGGACCAGTTAGTCCCTTTCCCCATGGAGTGTTTAAATCCTGAAGAAAACTACAGTCCTTTTCTTAGGGTGGCTGAACACCAAGAGTCCCATGGATGAGCTGTTGCATTTGCTCCCCGTTTCCCCGGCCCCTGGAAGTCCAGGTGTACCAGCCCCTGCCTTTCTTGGCCTTGGCAGGGTGGAGACTGACTCTGGGTGCTCAGCACCACCCACGCCAGGGAGGGGCCTGACCCAGCCCCACCTCTCTGCCCCTCCTCGTTACTCAGGTTTGCCACGGCATCCTGACTCAGTCCTGACACCCACAAGCTGAGGCCTGGCCATTTGTGTCTGGGCTTTGAGCACAAAGAGTGAAGTCCAGAGTTGCACTGACCGGGTCAGCACCAGGTGATGAGGTGCAGAAGCCTGTGCCTTTCCTTCATCAGAGTTCTCCAGGGGTCAGGTGAGGCCCTGCCCGGAGGAGCAGACGCCCGACCCATGTAGAACGAAGGCCAGAGAAGAGGGGCCAGGGAGGGAGATGGAGCCCAGATGCTCACAGAAGACTGACGGGTGTCCCGACATCCAACGGTGCAGGGACAGCGGTGATCTCTGTATGAGTCAGAGATCACAGGGCAGGACCTGCCCCACGTGGCCATCGCCTGCTTTTGCCGTGTAACTAAGGACAATGGCATCCATGCCTTCCCGAGGTGTCCAGGGAGGAGGAGGAAGTCAGCCCTGCTGACCATGCCTCCCAGCCTTGGGTGAGCCCCATGTCTGTGCCCCCACCCCGAGCACGGTGGACTCCAGTTCCAGGTGGCTGTGGCAACATGAGTGTCCCTGCTGGGTGCTTGCTCTGCCTCAGTGACCTCCCACCGCCAGGCATGTCATTGGTGCAGCAGCACCAACATGGCATCCAGGCCCTCTGAGGCCGTGGTCAGAGAAGAATGGGAAGCTGTGCTTTTCAGAGTGATGGCCAAGGACGTCAGAGGTACCGGAAGTGTTCTCGTCCCCCCTTCCTGTGTGCTCGTGTGCAGGATGTGTCAGGCTTCCAGGCTATCTGGGAGGGGAGTGTCTTACAGGAGTCAAGGAAGACCGCCTTGCCTTGGTACCAAAGCAGTGGCTGCAATTTCCCTTTTTTTTTTTTTTTTTTTT